CAAAAAAAAAACCAAACAAAACACAAACAAACAAACAAAAAACAACCAAACAAACAAAAAAAACCTCAGGAGTTTCTGTTAGTATTTTCACATTCATACTTATTCATCAGGGTCAATTTCCTGACAACACGGTATAAAAATGAGGCGTTGTATGACAGTTGTATCAATTATTGTTTGAAATAATAAATGACAGAAAATCAATAAATAGCTGAAAGGGAGCTGTAGTTTTAGTAATAGTTTTATGTTTCTCAATCATTTTAAAAATTCTTTTACAGCAGCGCACGTTTTGGACACTGGCACAAAAATAAGTCTCCAACGGAGTATCGGTCTGGGCCTCGTCTCATTGTTTTTGTGATTGGTGGGGTGTCATACTCTGAGATGCGTTGTGCTTATGAAGTGACTCGAGCCACAGATGGGAAATGGGAAGTCCTGATTGGTAAGCAATTGCTAATTAAGAAGTTATGACTGATGAACCTGACTGTTGAACTGCTATTTAAATATTGTTTTTTTTTCCTTGACAGGATCATCTCACATCCTAACTCCAACCAGCTTCCTCAATAACTTGAAGACTCTGGACAAAGATACTAATCCTGATCCGTAATCCCGGACAGCAATACTGCAGTAGGAGTCTGGTTGTTCCTTTAAACTGATGTCTTTCTGTTGTCCTGTTTAGCTTCTCTGACATCTCTGATGTGAAATCTTAGATGTAGTCATATAAGCAAGTAGTTGTGACTATTCTATTATAGTGTGCTCTTTTGTTGTTAGTTGGGTTCTGTATACTGCTGTGATTGAAATTGTATTTAAGTAATAAATGAAACAATATTAATGTTTTGATTATTCTATTCATATTTAAATTCTTAATTTTATTGTAATTGACTTGTGTAGTTATTTAGTCAGAAATTCCAAAAATTGTCACAAAGAAAGAGCAGCTCTCACCTCATAGAAATCTCTTAATTCAAGTATATTGTAATTGCACACAATTGAAGGACATATTGTATATAGATTTAAAAGTAGATAAAAAATATTTTATTTTAGGTAACCCTCTCCCTCAACCCTCTTCTTGAAATTTTCATCTCAGTAATAATGTCAGAACTGCTGTGTTATGACCATTGCACATTTTCTAGATACTTTAATATATTGCTGGGCGCTAGAGCAGTGGGTGCTTGTTTATTTGTTGATGAAAATGAGCAATAAAATAAAAAAAATATATTGAATTTAATTTGTCTTGTTTCTTTTCTATAGGACATTTTAGTATGCTTCAATATGCTTAATATTTTCATTTTGTTTTAAAATTTTTTATAGTTTGTTCATATTTTGCTAAAAAGTTTGCTAGTATTCTCCATATAGGCAAATTTTAACTTTATTTTTTCGAAAACTGCTGTTGTTCTGTATAGGCCTCAACCCCCTAAGCCAGCTCATCACTAAGAGCGGATACATGTATAGATTCAGGTGTGGAGTGATCATTAACAACATGTACATGGGTGACATTAATCTGTATGCTAGGAATAAGTGAGACATCAATTTACTGATCCAACTCACTAGATTCACAGCAAGGATATCAGGATGTCATTTTTACTATATAAGTGTGATTGAAGGGTCACAAAGAGAGGAAAGGTGATCCACACTGGAAGGGGTGGAATTTCCAGAAGACAGAGCAGCAGAGTAGTCCTTACACAGTCCTTACCGGTCATTAGATACCCAGGTGGAATAATAAGCAGGCTTCAGGATGAGATAGATGTCACTGATGTCAACTCATAAAAACTCCTCATAATGAGAGGTCCCCACCCAAAGTCCAGCACCCTTGGGGTCTGTGGCCAACAGGAAATAGGAGAGTGAGGTTAGTGAGTGTTGGAATGGCATTCCAGGATGAAACAAAGAACATTTTGCACTGACAGAGTGCTTTGAATATATTTTCTGGTAAACAGCTCGACGTCATCCATGTGGAGGAGATGGTAGACGATTGCTCCATTCCGTAGTCGGTATCCATATCCATGTTAATGATTTGCCTGGGGGGGTTCAGACCTATTCAGAACAGAAATCCCACACTTGATGGTGACTTGTAGAATTGGCTGCAAATGTTGTTCTCTAGTGTTGATTGCTAATTCCCCATCAAATTCATGATGAAGGCTCTTGGGGTCCTGTTGATCTGATATTTTAGACATTCTAAGATTCATCTATGGGGCACTGAGTCATAGGCTTTCTTGTACTTAATCTGGACAGTGCACAGGTTGGTCAGTATGGTCTTATAGTCTTGAATGACTGCTTTAAGTAGCAGTAGCTGGTGATTTGACACTGGTGTTTTCTGGGATTTCATGTATTGGGCCATGTTCCTGTTCATTTTAGCTGTTATGATGACTGACTGGAGCTTCCATGTTGTACTGAGGCAGGTTACTGGTCTGCAGTTAGATTGGGGACTAGTCCCTTCTGGGGATCGTACACCTTTGATGGTATACATTTTTTTAACCAAAGCTGCGAGTCTTTTCTTGGCAGTCTGAGGCCTAAAGGTATGGGCAGCTTACAGTACTTCCCCCTGACCTGAAGTCCTGGCTCCCCCTTCCTGTATCAATTGTGTTATACCACATAAATCTCTAGTTCTGATAGCAGTTGCTTCTTTCGCATGTTGGAAAACTGAGCTACTAGTTGTTTCATTGTCAGGTCCCACATGCTCTTCATGTAACCCCTTGCCTTGGGATTACAGTCATAGTACCATTCTAGCATTCCTGTTTGTCTATCTGCCGCCTGCCTGCTTGCTTGCTCTAGGTGAAGTGAAAGTGGGGCCTTTAAATTGTAAACATGAACCTTAAGTAAAGTGTTAGGTCAGAAAGGAGAGCATGCACACCTACCACGAAAAAAAGATCATCCCTCTGAGGATTATGTTTTCATCTGGGATTACAGATGGCAATATGAAGAACAGGGCAGACGCTGAGGTCTTAATGGCAATCGGTTTATACTCAGGACTAAACTATTAAAACCCCTGTTCCGCTTCATATCCAGTACACACTGAGAGAAGCATCATTCGGTATCATTTCATTCATGCATATAACAGTTCATCTGTTATAGAAGTTTTTTGTAACACATTGCTTGCATCTAGTTTTCATTTGGGGTTTATATATATTTTTTCAGTTATTTTTTTGATGGCAGCTGCTGGGATGGATTCAAAATCTAAACCCTCTGATGCCGTGCTGGTAAGATGTCAGTGTAAAACTAATTTCTTTGTTCTTGTTCTAATTATATAGGGAGGACTATATTCTTTAGATTTTAGATAGAAATATATTAATTCTTCTTATTAGTTAAAGAAATGTGTGTTATCATTTTTAGTTCTTCATGATAGATACATGTATTGATGTAATACACTATAATTAATTTGTTTTTAATGTTTAATGTTAGCTTTACAGAACCTTTATTGTGATATTGGAAAAAGATTAGCCATTAGGATGAATTATCTTTACATTAAGATTCACATTTGACCTTGAGTCAAGATGGTCTGAAAAAACTATTCATATTGAGAAACTATAATGTTGACAGTTCAAGCAATTTTAACAATCTCTATGCTGAATAGGAATCCCCAGAACTAGAGCAGATTCTGGACGTAATGAGTTACTCACAGCGTGGACGAATGGATGGACAGTGTTGCACTCTAAGTCCTGCTAAAATAGAGACGACATCTGCAGGTTGGAATAGTGAAAATACCACAGTACAGTATACATCTCCCTTTTTTGGCCTGATTATTGATTGTTTCATTCTTGCTTCCCACAGGGTCAAAAGATGAGAGATCATCCCATACTTCAGATAATAAACAGGGACAATATGTCAACTCGCATTTATCGTTGCCTGGATTTAATTACCAAGTACTAGACTTATGACTATAAAATGATGAGGGATACACTGTACAAGTAAGACTGATGAATAAATTACATCAGCTCTCAATTATTACCTGTTTTCTCAGGAAAGTGGACGTAATGATCATCATGTCTCTGCACCTCATATCTCTGTGACTGAGAGTACTCCAGATAGAAACAGGAAGCATCTGTCAATTCCAGTTGACCAATTACAGGTTCCTTCTCAACGTGAACGCTCAAATTCTATAAAGGTCTGTTAATGTGTTAACAAGTTATAACAGTGTTATTCTGATAGCTGTAACAATTAGATTTGTTGATGTTGACTTGTTTAATTCCATGTTATCACATATACATCACCCCATTCGTTGAAACTTTATCATGCTGTTTTAACCCAAAAAGTCAGAATCACCTGCTGAACAGCAAAAGTTCATGGAGATGATTACCTATGGACAGCGTGGACGCATGGAGGACCAGTGCTGCTCATTGGATCCTAGCAAGAGTGCTCCTTGCACACCCAGATACACAGAGAAAAAAACTGTTGCAAGTATGTTAAACATGGCTGAAAATTCAATAATTCTGGCCATTTTAATAAATTGCATTCATCATTTGAAACTTCCTTTATGAACCTGACTGTTTCAGGTTCTGACAGATTAAATATTTATATTGAAAATTTGCTGTATTTGACCAGTGACAGATCCTGAAATGTTCTTCAATCTGTTGGCCGACACTCAGAGCCGACGGCTCGATGACCAGCGAGTGTCGCTTCCATCATTACCAGGCTTACAAAATGAAAAGGGCACTTCTATGGGAGATTCAAGCTACTTGTGTTACATGGTCTCTAAAGTTCAAGTAAGGAATTTTCTTTGTTCTCTTTTAATAAGTATCAAAATGCTGCATGGAACTTGACTGCTTGAAATGATGATATTAATGGCTTTGAGTCTGTTTTAACAGGAATGCCACATTTGAGGCAGATTTTCCACAGCTGTCAACTTACAGTGTAGCTTTTTAGTTAAGAGTTTAATAACCACATTATTTTATGTATTTATAGTCAACCTATTGATCAAAAATGCTGACCTAATCTATTTTCAGGGCTCCAGAATGGATGATCAAAGGTGTTCATTACCTGAAATCCTACCCCCAGAGACACCGTGTTCATCAAACAAGGATCAGTCTGAATCCGGTTTAAACCCATTACGCTCAGCCTCCTTCAGCTCCAGTTCAGACATAAAACAACTAAAAAGTGAGGATAAAAATCCTCAAAAACAGGTATCTCCGCGCTTTCAGTTTTAGCCCCCCAAAAGAAATTGTAAACAGCATCGACACTAAACAATGAGGTTTTAGATCACCCCATTTCTTTTTGCATGTGTTATATTTTTGTATTATTCATTCACTTAACAAAATTAACATTATCCCATCTAGTTCTTGACTCCAGCTGAACAGGAAGATCTTTTTACCTTAATTAGTAATTCCCACCATGGCCGGATGGATGAACAGCGATGTGTCCTAAATGCTACACCCCAGTCCACACCTAAGCACCATTTCAGTCAAAGTGAAATCCCCCAAGGTCAGAAAACAGGAAATTTTCCCTTTGTTTATTTGTTATTTTTTGCATTTGATATTTTTTCTAAATGAAAACTCAGTTGTTTTGTACGTTGATATATAACAGCGCATACATTTCTCAATGAAGCTAACAAGTATTTTATTTTTCTCTAACATCCAATACCCAGATTCTGATAATTTCTTCAGCTTACTGGCCACCTCACAGGGCAGACGGCTGGACGACCAGAGAGTGTCCCTTCCTTCATTACCTGGAATACAGAATGGAGGTACCACATTAACACCCACTGCTGCTGAGACGGATGCAAGCTACTTGTGTTATCTGGTTTCCAAAGTCCAGGTTGGCCCTATATGTAACATTGCGAAAAGTTATTCACAGCTTTTGTTTCTTTGTTAAGTATCCACAAAGTTTTTGCACATATAGATTTATCAGTTTTGCTTCAATCAAACTTTTTACCCACAGGGCTCAAGGATGGATGAACAGAGATGTTCTGGACCCCACATCTTCCAGAATCTGGGTACCCCATCAGCTCAGCGCACATCTGGTAAACCTCCTTGGAGGTCTGCCTCATTAAACCGTGAGAAAACTGAACAGCGTGGGCAGGTCAATGTTCATACCACATATCACTCAACATTATTTTACCTATACTTTTTCTGCCCTGTAATTTTATATTTCTTAAGCAAGCCACGAAAACTATATAGTGATTGACTAGAACTTTTATTATCTAGTCTTTTAAAGAAATAACATAGCTGTATTGATTGCTTAATGGCAGCCTCCGTTTGCTATGTCTTTTTGAGAGTTGTCCCATTTCTTATGACATATCTTTCTGTAAAAAAATTTAGGGAATATCCGCAGCTGAGGAGGAGCAATTTCTTAAAATGATAAGTCGAATACAAAGTGGACGCATGGAAGAGCAACGCTGCTTTTTACAACCCAGCAGAAGCACACCTTCCTCACCTACACACAATGGCAGTGCTTTGAATAAAGTACCCATAGGTCAGAAAAATGCACAGTGCACTTGAATATGAGTATTTTGTCTCTGAAATGTCAAGAATAATTATTTCTCCATTACAGGCGCAGAAGCAGAGGCGTTCTTCAAAATCATCACCTCCAGTCAGTCGCGACGACTAGATGATCAGCGCGTTGCACTTCCTACCTTGCCAGGGATAACTGGAAATTCTGAAGGAAAAGTAGACATACAACGACATACAACAGCTGAAATCCCAGTTAGTTACACAACATCTAAATTATTGGTACTGTGAAAATTAAGAAAAGTGTAATAAATGTGGTTATATATATATTTTTTTTTAACTCTATGCACTCCCACAGAAATTAAGTGCATGCGGGACACCATGTGTCTCTCTCTCTCAGTTTGTCATACTTAGAGACCCATCATATCCAACCATTAAATTTAACTGTAAATGACCATTATGTAGACCTTAGGCTATCTCTCGTAACCTTTGGCTTGTCTACAGTACTGTAACTAAATAATCATGACCAAAATTTCTTTCATGGCTCTAAATGTAGTTACCACTCTATCAAAAACCTCAATTAAGAGTGTTTTTCCACCATTCTACTGCTGATTATATTTTAATAAATTGCAACCGATCATTTGTTTTTCTGCAAAACGCTTTCCAGTTCAACGGTCTCTCATCATTTCTGTTCTGTAAGGTCTCTCCACTACCGCAGATCACAGTGGCTAAATGTACACCTACAACTTCAAAAAAGTGTCCTACACCTGCCTCACAACCTCAAATGACATATGGAAAGCCTGGTTCCACTGAGGCCTTACCCAAATCTGCTTCACTTATTCCCAAGGGAGAATTTAAGAAGATGTCTAATTTCCCAGCTAAGGTAAATTCTTCACTTTTCCATTTTTCAGTACATTCCAGTTTGTAGACAAATATATAACAAGTAATGTAAACAGAAATTAGTATAGTATAACAATTTACCAGTATTTTTATTCTCTAAAATATTATATGTTTCTGTATGGGACAAACGGATTCTCCTTTTTGAAAGCCTCCTGAATTAGAAATACAAAGGCTGATATCCCAGTAAATGAAAAAAACAGAACAAAAAAAAAAAAAAAAAAGCTGATAAGAGATTCTGTAACACTGTTTGAGTTCAGTGATTTGTGACATGTTACAGGTAACAGTGAGTGTATCTGTGAGCTTCACACCTCAGGAGGTAAGTTGTAAGATAACTTATTACCCAAAGGTACTGCCATAATAAAAGAAGTGTCTTCAGTACTACTCTTTTCTTCTCTGGAAAATGAACAGAAGAATGCCAGTGAACCAGATGCATTTCCAGATGTCTATCTAACTCTTGGAGCCCCAGGGGACAACCTTGTGATACCTCTGAGTCCAGTATGTGGCAGGCCCTTGTCCTTTGACTTAAACCTTGTTATGAAGGAAGATGTTAAGTTCAGGCATCGCTCTCCAAGCCATTCCAGTCCCAGAAAAAACAACTCCAGGCCACCATCTCCCAACAAAGGTGCGACTGGTAAAGCATATCCTACATGCTCACATGAACAGGGGAAGCTTGTGACCAGCCACATCAGTGCAGATGTAAACTCCTCCCCAACTGAAAAGACTCACCTGGAGAAAGGAATGGCTCAAGAAGGACAAAAGGGGAAAGGAGAACTTGGAAAGGTGAGGGAAAAGGCACAGCATGGAAAAGGAAAGGGCGCTGTAAAGAAAGACATGAAGAAGAGTGGCAAATAATGTACTTGTAAATTATGGGATTTAAATGTAAAAAAATAAGTAGCAAAAAAATTGTATTTGTATTGCTAAAAGCTCTTATTAGAAATTATGTTGATTCTGCTTTATAGGGTCATTTGAAGGATAGTCCTTTGCTAGCTAAATTTACAGTACATATTGTGTCTATTATGTTTTGCGTTTTGCAAATTTTCTAAATGTAAATACACTGTAAGGAATTCTATTCTTTCTGTCAATTATAATTGTAATCTTGAATTAAAACCTTTGGTCTGTTAAACTCTGTAAAGATGTGACAAAAACCAAACCAAAACAAACATGATAAAAAAAACCCAACAGCAATAAATGGGGAATCATTTCCTTTGGTCTGAATTCTGAACTTTGACATCTGCATTTAGCATTGGAGCATATGGGTCGTCTACTCCACCCACTGAGTTGAAAACATGACCATATGAAGTAGAACATGCTAAGCAATAAAAAGAAAACATAATACTTTGGAAATTTTCACCATTTATTGAGGATTTACAGAGAAAGTTGTTCATATTGTATGAACTCTTAAATGATGCAACTGGATTGCATTTCCTATTCAGCCGAGTCACTTCCCTGAAAGCAAGAGAGAGATACAGACCATAGAGTTAATGCTTATAGGGATATATTGCAGTAGGAATGCAATAACAAAAAGTATTGCAATGTTGTTATGGTAGGATACTTTTTTTATATTGGATGGATATATTGGATGTATTATAAGTAATAAAACAGAAGTGTCCTGCAAATTGGCATTCACTTGACATTAACTAATGTACTTTTCAAATTAGAATGTAAAAATCATGACATTCAGTTTAAAAATATGTAGGTGGTTAAGATATAATACTGTCAAAGAAAATGTAATACCACCTTTCCGACATCACGGCTCTTGGCTCTCAACTTGTTGACCTGGGACTCAGCAATGTCAGCACGCTCCTGAGCTTCCTCCAGCTCATGCTGGACCTTCCTGAGCCTGGACATGTGAGTGTTTGCCTGCTCCTCCTGTAAAGGATTTACAAAAATACTGACTTAGTTATAGGGGAGTCAATGGGCGTGCTATGAACCAAGCTGAAGCAGATTTGGCATATAATTGTAGTTGACTTACAGCCTCCTCAGACTGTCTCTTGTAAGCCTTGACTTTGAGCTGCAGCTTGTCCACCAGATCCTGAAGTCTGGTCACATTCTTCTTGTCTTCCTCAGTCTACACAAAATACAGCTGTTACTTAAGAGGTATTTGAGAAGAAACAAAGGGCACGTATGCTTGTTTTTGGCAAAAGAAGACTTACCTGATAAGTGAGCTCCTTCACTCTCCTCTCATATTTGCGGACTCCTTTAACAGCATCAACACCACGTCTCTGCTCAGCTTCAAGTTCAGCTTCCAGTTCACGGACCTTTAATGCCATGATAAATAGTTAACTTTGCTTCAAATATAAAGAAAAACTTAAATTCATATAATTTAATCAAAATATATTTTATGTATATAAGCATACAATATACACTTCATACCCTGGACTCCAGTTTCTGGAGCTGCTTCTTGCCACCCTTCATGGCGAGGTTCTCTGCCTCATCCAGACGGTGCTGCAGGTCCTTGACTGTGACCTCCAGGTTCTTCTTCATCCTTTCCAGGTGAGCACTGGTGTCCTGCTCCTTCTTCAGCTCCTCAGCCATCATGGCAGCCTAAAATGATTTTCTCCATTTAATTAATCTATTTAAAAATCTATGGTAAGCTTTTATTATCACTGAAAGGAAGTGAAGTGTTTAATAGAACAGATTACTTAGAGATTTAAACTCACGTCAGTGATGGCTTTTTTTGCTTTCTCCTCAGCATTTCTTGCTTCCTGCACAGCATCATCCACCTCACTCTGGATCTGCACAAAATCGGCTTCGAGCTTCTTTTTCGTGTTCAGAAGACTGGTGTTCTAAAGGTTTAGGAAAAAATTATATGATAGAAATATGTTGTAAGTTCACATACTAGATATTTACAGTAAATTTACAATGTATTTCCTAATTAAAATTACATTAGGTTAAATGTTTCTTGACATTATAAACAAACCTGAGAGTGAAGCAGTCCGACACGCTCGCTAGCATCAACCAACTCCTGCTCAGCTACTTTGCGTCCTCTCTCTGTCTGCTCCAGAGCGGCTCTCAGCTCCTCAATCTCGGCTATCATCAGACCATTTCTGCGCTCCACCATGGCGACCTGCTCCTTCATGTCTTCCTGTCCTCTGAGAGCTTCATCAAGGTGCAGCTGGGCATCCTGATGAAATAAATCAATCAATAAATAAGTACTTATTCTGTTTCTTTAACAAATGATCAGGAAGAAAGGTCACCTTGAGCTGTCCTTGGACATTCCTCAGTTGTTTCTGGGCCTCAGCAGCCTGTCTGTTGGCATGGCTCAGCTGAATCTCCATCTCATTCAGGTCTCCCTCCATCTTCTTCTTGACTCTCAGGGCATCATTCCTGCTCCTGACCTCAGCATCAAGGGTGCTCTGCATGGAGTCAATCACCCTCTGGCTGTTCCTCTTGATCTGCTCCATCTCCTCGTCCTTCTCTGCCAGCTTCCTGTCAATCTCACTTTTGACTTGGTTGAGCTCAAGCTGAATACGAAGAATCTTGGATTCTTCGTGTTCCAGAGTGCCCTGCGAGATAAGTCAGATAAGTAACAGATACCAAGTGGAATCATCAAAATAAATAATATTGACATAAAAAATATTAAACCTCTGCTTCTTCAAGGGCAGTCTGAATTTCAGCCTTTTCACTTTCTACAGTCTTCTTGGCCTTTTCCAGCTCATGGATGCTCTTTCCAGTCTCACCAATCTGCTCAGTCAGATCTGAGATCTCCTCTACAGAGCAAACATAGCCAAGAGTTTTAGTACTTGGAGCTGATATATGCAGATGTTTTTGCCACAACATAACATATAAATGAATATAAACATTAGAATCATATCCATATGATCTATAGCAAGATAAGCATACGCTGCAGGTTCTTGTTCTCTCTCTTCATGGTCTCCAGTTGATCCAGAGCCTCTTCATATGAGTTCTTCATCTTGAACAACTCAGTGCTGAGAGAACGAGCCTCCTTTTGGGCTCCTTCCAGCTCTGCCTGGCTCTCCTCATACTTCTGCTTCCATTCTGCCAGGACCTATGTTAATATAGGTTAATTAGTTAGTTGTTATTATGGGTGTGTCCCTCTTCATATTATATTAGTTGTGTTTAAATCTTTACCTTATCAAAGTTCCTCTGCTTCTTGTCAAGGTTGGCAGCCAGAGCATTAGCTCTCTCCACATCAATCATGAGGTCCTCCACCTCACCCTGCAGCCTCTGCTTGGTCTTCTCCAGTGAGGCACACTTGGAGTTCACAGCCTCAATGGATTCCTCAGCCTCCTGCAGGCGCTGGGCAAGCTTTTTCCTGCAATTTGCAAAAATTTGCTTGTATTAATTCCATTATGTATTAAAAGTAATACAGTATTACATTTTTATTCACAAAAGAGAAGAAAGCATTTATGTACTTGGCCTCCTCCAGCTCCTCAGTGCGCTGGATGGCATCAGTCTCATATTTGGATCGCCACTGAGCCACCTCACTGTTGGCCTTGGACATTCCTCGCTGCAGCTCAGCCTTGGCCTCCTGCTCCTCCTCAAACTGCTCTCTGAGCAGATCACAGTCATGTCGGGCTGACTGAAGAGCATGAGCCAGGGCGTTCTTGGCCTGGATTTTAATAATAATACATTTTAAATAATAATAAATGTCTTTGCTTTTCTTTTATCTCTCAGTGAGCATGTTGACAAAGTAATGTAAAGTTATTCTAAATTTGAGATATAGGTTGTGAGATATAGTTAATGTGAGATAAGTTGACATTAAGTAACTTGCATTTATTCTTGTTTTCACTTGCAGATCCATGGTTCATCAATGTTCTTTTACAATGTATGTAATGCTGAATATAATACTTCTTTAATATGACATCTGGTACCTTCACTTCCTCCTCAGTATGTCGCTTAAGCTCTTCAATCTGTTGAGTGTAAGCCTGTTTGCCTCTGGTAAGCTGGGAAATAAGAGCTTCCTTTTCCTCAAGCTGACGAGAAAATTCACCTGGGCAAAGCAGATTAAAGAAAAATACTTTTCATAACTGAAAAATCACCATGTATTTTAAACACAAACAATATCATCTGTTTGAAACTTAAATTGTTTCTGAACTTAAAATGGTTACTAATTAAAATACAGTTACATACTTCATATCTTTGGATACACACCATTCTCAGTTTGGAGTCTTGCCCTCTGTGCACTTATGTCATTAAGCTGGCGAACATTCTCATCATTTTTGGACTTGAGCTCACTTAACTGGTCTTCAAGAGTTCGGCACATTTTCTCCAGATTGCCCTATAAATTGCACATAATTGTCATGACTCAAATCCAGGAAAGATATAACTGTTGCGCTCTTTCATTGTTTAGATAGCCGCTTTTTCTCAAAATTGCATACCTTTGCTTTGGCAACAGTCTCCATATTGCTTGCGAGGTCATCAATCTCCATCTTGTACTCGCTCTTCTCTTTCTCCAGCTTCTGTTTGACACGCTGGAGGTTGTCGATTTGCTCTCCGAGCTCTGCAACACTGTCAGCCTGCTTCTTACGGAGAGCTGCTGCAGTAGCTTCATGCTGCAGAGTTGCTTCTTCAAGATCACGACGCAGTTTCTGGAACTCAGCCTCTCGCTTCTTGTTCATCTCAATCTGAGCAGCTGTTGCTCCTCCAGCTTCCTCGAGCCTCTCACTGATCTCTTCAAGCTCCCTGGAGAGGTCGGCTCTCTGTTTCTCTACCTTAGCCCGAGCTGCCCTCTCAGCCTCAATCTCCTCTTCCAGCTCTTCAATACGAGCCTTTAGGGTAATAGCACCACAAAGACTTACTGAGTTGACATGTTTTAGTTTTACTGAACATAATATTTACCTAAAATAATGGTACCTGGAGTTCTTTGATCTTCTTCTGAAGCTGAGCACCAAGAGACTGCTCATCCTCAATCTTGCCAAGAAGCTGACTGATTTCAAAGTCTTTCCTGTAAGTGGAGAAGAAAAAGAAATGACTCTGACAGCTCTGTGGCTGAATGCAAGTGTAGGAACTTTATCAGTAACTGTTTTTTTACTTTTTGATTTTCTCGTCAGACTGCTGCTTGTCATTCTCCAGATCCATTATGGATTCCTGGGCCAGTTTCAGATCTCCCTCCAGCTTCCTCTTGGCTC